CACTGAATAATCTAAATTGTAACTTTATACAGGAGCAACCTTCAAGTGGCTAGTGGAAAATGACTTGGGCTACTGTGCCTATCTGGTTGCTACACTTGTGAATGAGCCCAAGTCATCATCCCCCTTGAGTGTAAACAAGTTTGCATTCAAGGAGTATTTGGAGGCTTTTCCTGAGGGAGTGGAGGCGGTGGAGATGAAGGCGGGAGAGGCCCCACGAAGATCTGGCCGTCTTGCGAGCAAGCCCCGTCCCACTTTCAAGGAAGAGCTCACCGACGAGGAACTTATAGAGGCCATGGAGGAGTTTGACCCTGCTGAGGCTATGGGATCAGGTTAGAACACACAATTTACGTGAATGTAACAATCAATAGAACCCCTGGGCTCTATAAATTTTTGTTTGGGTTTTCTTTTGTTTTATTATATGCGCTATGCATATTCTGGCGTTCCTTTAATTTAGGCAACAAGGCTTCCGGAAGTGGAGGAGATGCTCCCACCAGGAGTCGCAAACGGCCACCATCTGCCAGCAGCAAGCCCCCACCTTCCTCCAGTAGTAGACCCCAAAAATCCCCCAGATCTGAGACTACCTTGGTTGCACAGGCAGACAGGCAAGGTTGGTACAGTTTGGAAAAAAAGGAGTGCAACGACTATTGATACATTCATGTTGTACAAGTGTGCATGTGTAGCAATAAAAAAAACATCCAAATGTTTCTCCAAAATGATACTCATTACAGAGTGTGTTCTTACCGATGGATGGAGGCGGAGTCTTCCAGAAGTGGACCACCACTGGGTCTCCCGGGCAATCTTCAAGCTTTCCCAAAAGGGAAAGCCGGAGATCGACTACAGCAAAATCAACCGCCTGTGGTACGACCCTCCTCCGCCACGTACCGTCCATGGTCAACCCCCCAAACCGGTGTTGTTTTATGCACACCGACTCTTGCTGTGGATGCCTCGTCGGCTTTGGGGCATGCGACTGGTCTGTCCGACTGACTCTTGCAGTGATCGAGAACTGTACTCAGCGGGCATGTATCCTCATGTCCGTCAGGTTGTGGACCTTGACGGGTTCTACAACCTGGCAGCTGAGTACCTGGAGTGCTCTCACTGCAAGAAGAAGTTCATTGGCTGGAGCCAGCCTATCCTGGAGCAGCTGGATGTGGGACACCGTGTCCAATTCCCTGCAATCTTGACGTACAAGCAGGCGTGTGACATCAAGGTCGTCCGACTCCTGCGCACGAGAGGAGTGGGAAATGGTCCCCACCAGCTGCAGCGAAAACTACAGGAACAACACAGCGAGGCCTGGCTCCAGAGGACAGCCCAGTACCTGTCTGCATGCGACGCATTCATCAAAGCCAGTGAGAGACAGCTCATACAGAAGCCTACCTTTGACCCACCCCCAAAGATGACCCCTGTCCCCACATACCAGTGGCTGCTGCAGGTCTATTGCAACGATGTTCTGCAGCGCATCGATGAGACCAAGGCAGCCATCACATCCACCTTTGGCAAGATCTTAAAAATGGACTCCACCAAGAAGGTGAGAAAACATTTTATTTGGCACAGTTGTTGATTCGGCCACAAACCCACTGTATGTGTATGTTGTGGTAAATCATGTGGAAACACTTCCACAATATATTTGTGTGTGTCTCTTTAAACTCCAGATCACCAGAAAACTAGCAGGATCCACCCGAGGGACGGCAGCATGGGCAACAAACGTCGGGAATGAGCACGGGCAAGTTTTGATGAGCGTGCTGACAGCTGCAGAAGGCCATGGCCTTGACCACATGACCAAGGGCCTTGTTGCACGCTACCAAGCTGCCAACGTGCCTCCTCCCGCACTTCTCTATGTAGACAGGGAATGCTGTAAGGGTAAGTCGCACCTCTTCCCCGGCTGGCCCAACCTGCAGGTCCGTCTTGACATCTGGCACTTCATGAGGAGGTTTGCAACAGGGTGTACAACTGACTCTCATCAGTTGTACCCCTTCTTTCTCCGACAACTCTCAGCCTGCATCTTCTCGTGGAGTGCCGATGATGTCCAGAAGTTACGGGAGGCCAAACGGACCCAGCTCCTTGAGGCCAAGCATCACCAGCCGTCTGAGACAGAGGTAAACAACAGCATCAGCAAGAGGGAGCTGGCCCGCCATTGCAGAAGGATGACACGGGGAGAGGTGACGACCACCCAACTAATGCAGGCCCTGATCACCACCCTTGATGGGGAGCAGGGGCGTGACACCCTTGGAGTGCCACTTTTTGACTCGGCCCGCATCTGGGAGATCTGGGAGTCCCAGAAACAACACATCTCCTGTATTCAAGACCCCCCTGGTGTGCAACTTTACACCCAGACTGGGGAGAGAGTGGTGGGTGGAGTCACCCTACCATTCTACAGATGTGCTCGTGGGTTGACGTCATTGGAGTCGTTCCATCTGCATCTCAGGAACTTCATTCCTGGTAAGACACCAGTAATCTTGCATGTCATTATTGCAGTAACACTCCTTGGTCAGCAGTTCTTTGAGTGTGTTGTCTTCCATCTTTTTTTCAGGGACGCAAGCGAACGACGTGCACTTTCAGGCATACCTGCTGGAGGGGCTGGCGAGGTGGAATGAAGATCGTGCTGCAGAGGCCATCACTACCGAGGCACCTGAACATCGGGTGTACTCCGGCCATCTGCAGTACTCTGTGGATCAACTGGGGCAGCGTGTGCTTGGCAAGAGGATCAACCCATCACACATCACACCCCAGAAGTACACGGGTAGGATATGTCTTTGTTTTCACAGAAATGACAGATCACAGTCTAAGTGGCCAATCAAATTCAAGTAATATGGTGGATGTTAAGTCTTACATTCATATTGTGAACCATTTTTTTCATGGCCCAGGAGAGCGCATCGGGGTTGAGTACTTGTACCAACAAACGAATAAAGTGATCGACGAGTACATCCCCGATGACGCTGAGGGCGACGAAGAGGACGAGGATGACTACCAGGAGGAGGAGACAGAGCTGGACAACACAATCCCCCCCGTGGAGGATTCCAAGCCCACTACGGAAGTTCCACAAGCTTCCTCAGTGCCTCACGGGCCAGGTGCTAAGCGTAAGTGAAAAAAACGTACAAAGAGAACAGATTGGTATTCTCTGCAAAGAACAACAATCTTGAATGACACTTTTTCTGTCACATTACAGCCAGCTTACCCCCCCGTCGGAGAGCGTTCAAAAGAGCACCTGTGCCGCTGACACGGCCTGGGTCGTCTTATTCTCCTCCTTTGCCTGAGCCGTCCTCTTCGTATAGCCCCACCCGTCCTCCCAGGCACACTGATCCTCGCTGAGCCAAGCCTGCCACGCTGTCCCGGAGACCGCCCACCCCTCCACCGGTGGACATGCCCCCTACCGGTGGACATGTCCTACCAGAGCAATTGGACGAAATGCCTGAGCCTACCCTTGATGATCCTGATGATGAAAATGTAAGTAGCAAAGTTTCAAGCCAAATATAACAGAGGATGAACCGTTGCACTTTGTTCAGGTTTGAATGCTTCTAACTTTCATACTCTGCTTATGTACCGCAGGACCAGACTCTTGGACCAGATAGCGTGCCGGGCTATGAGAATGTGGAGCCCCTTGCAAGCTATCTGGTCCATTTTCGTCAGGGCAAAGGGGTTATAACGAACCAACAGGCCGACAGAATCATCAAGCTGTGGAGTGCTCTTCACATTTCTGATCA